TATGCTTGGTAATGAGGCTCTGTACGATTTTACAAATAGTTGGCTTGCTCTGTGGTCTGGTAAAGATGAAAGGGAACAACGATCATCATTTTATGCTTATGTCTATCTTGGAGTTATATTTGCTACATTGATCGTTGCACTAATACGTACCGGCTATACCTTCTATATCATGTTGCGTGGTTCGACCCATTTTCACAATCGAATGCTCAAAGGTATCTTGTATACTTCGTTACGTTTCTTTGAAAGTAATCCAAGTGGACGAATATTGAATCGAGCAAGCAAAGATCAACAAGTGTTAGATGAATCGTTACCTATGGCTTTAATGGATACTATGCAAAATTTATTAAAGACTCTAGGCTCTATCACAGTCATTGGAATAGCCAATCCATGGGTGCTTCTAATTCTCATTCCTTTGGTTCCCACAGTTTTGTGGCTTCGTAGATTTTATATGCGTTCGAGTCGTGAACTCAAACGATTAGAAAGTGTAACACGTAGTCCAATTTATGCATTGTTCTCGTCGTCATTAGACGGGCTCACTAGTATTCGTGCATTTGATACTCAGGGCGATTTTTTGAATATGTTCATGGAAAGAATCGATACCAATTCACGAGCTTACTTCGTTGTCTTTACCACTGCACGTTGGTTCGGTTTACGGCTTGATCTTATGACATCCTTACTCACTTTGGTTACTGCAATTCTTGCAGTAGCCTTGCGCCATCAAATTGATCCATCTGCAGCAGCACTCAGTATCAGCTATTGTATCACTTTAACAGGTCTGTTTCAATGGGGTATACGACAATCAGCTGAAGCTGAAAATTTCATGACCAGTGCAGAACGTATTCATGAATATGGTCAACTAATACCAGAAAGCCATCGGAATAGTAATGAAAACGGTGTACTCATTCAACCAGCAGATGATTGGCCTTCTTGTGGTATTATAGAATTTCAAGACTATACTTTTCGCTATCGACCAGAGCTCGATCCTGTGCTCAAAAATCTTAATCTACGAATTGAATCCAAAGAAAAGATTGGAGTTATTGGTCGGACAGGTATGATTATTTCACTTCGGGAAATATACGTGATGAGCATTTCTAATGAGGAAACAAGAAAGCGGTCAAAAACGGCTAGATATAGACAGAAGAAAGATATTGATGCTGACACGTCCTCCTATTATGAAAGGCCCATGATTGAAAATAGTTATGTTATGTTTACGTTTTTCTATATAAATCAGACTTCTTCTAACATGATTTTCTATTCCTATCACATGACTATATCTATGAAAGAAATCTGATCGAATGCGATCATAGCGAACAATATTCGAAATATTTATGGCGTATCAAGCTCATTAAGTATAATCTGTTTTGATTTTCTGGCACTTTCTCAGCCACTGTTGAGAGATCCGACGAGATAGATGTAAAAAGATTCACGAGTTGGGGCACTGTAAAAGATCATCGTTTAGAAAATCTGCATATCAATATATAATAGCACGCGCTACAACATAGCCTTGGTGAGGATTCAAAGAAGTGACGAATTCTTCTTATAGGATTTGTATAGTTCAAAAAATTGGTCTGCGCCTCATAAGAGTTCTTCATCCAAGAAGAAATTTCTAAAGTGTGCTGTGTTTTTGAAAAAATAATCGATTATTCTGTGCGTTCAATTCAAACAACTATAAAAAGTTTAACATGATTCATCCGCCGGTACTTGTCTTTTCTAATTGTGACGAGTTCACATAATGGACGAATTATGTACTCCCTTTAATACGAACAGTGCAGGAGTCAGTACTACCCGATTCTAAGTATGTATAACTCGTACAAAAGCGTTTTTGAGCAATAAGAGACGCTTGAATAGCAGCGACGAATTTCAACATATACAGTGTACTTCCACAGGACCTGGAGCATTGAAATTTGTGATTCTTTTAGGTGCCGGAAAGTCATCACTTCTTCAAGCTCTCTTTCGACTGGTCGATCAGTCAGCAATCAACGGAACCATTCTCATTGACGACATCGATATTGCACGTCTTTCACTCAATCATCTTCGTTCTCATCTAAGCGTTATTCCACAAGTGCCGATCCTATTCTGTGGTACACTTCGCTACAACATTGATCCATTCGAACGATTCTCAGATGAGGAATGTCTTACAGCACTTGAAGCTGTTCAACTCAAACAATTAGTACGCAACCATCCCGATGGACTCCATCTACTGGTAACTGAATCGGGTACTAACTTGAGTGCTGGTGAACGCCAATTGGTTTGTGTAGCTCGGGCCATTCTTAAGAGGAGCCACATATTGCTTATTGATGAGGCTACAGCAAATGTTGATCATACGACCGATAGGATGATTCAAGAGGTTATTGCTGACAAGTTTCGTGATCGTACCATATTGACGATTGCACATCGATTGAATACAATAGCCAATAGTGATCGTATTCTTATGTTGAAACAGGGAGAAGTAGCCTATTTTGATGTTCCCAATAATATCGATTTATCTGAAGGTGATAAACAAAAGTAATTTGGTTTTTATAACTGTACACCACAGATTATTGTATTGATCGAATTTTTCATTCCCTATTTTCGTCTGTAGGCGTTAATGTTGGTATTATTTTTGTAATCAAGGTGCCGAAAATTCTAAAAAATGAGTATGATTTCGTTTTCAACTAAACGAGACAATTTTTAAACGATTGCATCAACTATTCAAAACATTTGTTTTCTGACAGAAAAATCTGGAAAGCTTAAATGATCTGATTTATCCAAAAATATGAATAGTTTACAAGAGATTCAAACTTCTTTCTACACTCTTCTTTTGATGTATTTAACCCATAATCTCCAGATATAACACCCGAACGTCATTTTTAAAGGCATATTGAATCGAATGTGAAGTTTTCTCCGGAAATTTTTAGCCTATATGACACTTCTAAGAATAGTGTTCGCCGTTTTGAAGATTTACCTATATTTGTTCTTAATAGTTGCAGCCAAGATTTTTATTTTGTTCACTGAGTAACGAGCTAATGAAGCAAAGGCTGATTTTTAAAAATGTTGCATTGCAACTGAAAAAATTTCTTTCTTTACTGAAATCTCAACACTTCTATCGAACATTGGATTTCTCCTTTGACAGAAATGTTGCAATTTTTGTTAAAAGCAAAGTTCCCATTGCAGATGGTACATTAGAAAAACTGCCATAATTCTTTGTAGTTCTTTATCCACTGGATACAATAAGAATCTTGCTGAAAAAAGAAAAACAGTTTAGTATCCAAAATGATCTTCTCTATGAAATGTCAAATAGCTAATATTTCTGGATTCGATTCAAATTTCAAAAAGATAGGCTGAAGGTATGAAAGAATAAAATAATTATCATTTCCAAAGCTCAGACCCCTCAAGTTGTCAAGACTTTTTAATCTGAAGAATGTTTTAGAAAGAGTAAATCAACGTTTTTATTCTCAGTTCAATGCGCTCATCTGTATGATGTATGCTTATTGGAAAACAAGATACTGCTCACTTTTTGATGTTCTAGTACTTTATATTCTTGATTCTTTTCTGTTCTTTTGACTCTCTCACATTCTCTCTGTCATTTTTGTATTGCTTGTTACCTATGTATACGACTTTCGTTCTCTTTGCTGTGCTGGTGCATGGAAGATTGTTCGAATTTGAAAAGTAAAAGTAATCTGATTGTTGATTTTCGTAGGTTGTTTCCCTGTTTATTGTTAGAACTTGTCCAGTTACAACTATTACAGAAGCTATTTATTAAATCTGTGTGCACAGACGTAAATGTTTTAGGCAACATTTATTTCATTTCTAATTGTGTTTGATAAGTTATAGCTGAACAAAAAAAATAATATAGACTACTAAAGATGATACTGTTAAACTGTTCATTTATGACCTCAAGTGAATGAACAAGTTACAAAGAATCTTTTATATTTGCGACATAATCTTAAAAATCTATCAAACCATATGATATACATGTAACAGTAGCCTTGTGAAAGAAATGCATTTCTAAGAGAAATATTTGTTGACTAGTGATGTTCCAATATTTGAATGCCTCAAATATTTACACATTCCAATTTAAAAGCTTGCATTAAGATCTGATTGACGGCCAAACAATGGTGCAACAAATCCAGAATAAATGTAGGGTTTGCAATCAAATTCTTGATACTTGGATTTTGATTTAGATTCGGATTCTGGCTTGAAGTTTGGGCTATTGACTTTCAAAAGCAACAGAAATAGATTGGGATGTAGGTCATTTAAGACAAAACTGAATTCAGATCCAAACTATTGCAGACGAAATTCGAAGAATCCAAATTTAAATCTAAGATATCAAATCCAAGTTTAATTTCAAATCCAAGCAATTTTGAATGAAGTCTCAAGACTTCGGACCTGTTGTGTATGGGTGCGAATGTCGTTGAAGAGTAGATCCTTACTTAGACCTACACCAGCGAGATCCCATACTCCACAATCACACCCACATCCAGTTTGACCCATTTTAATTTGAAGATTATGAGCGACCTGGATCACATTTACCAATAGTTCGGCTTATGTCGACATCTACGCCTCGAGCTCTAAACCCCTCGACACATTAGAAGACCCCCCTATAATAGAAGACCCCCCTATAATAGAAGACCCCCCTTAATAGAAGACCCCCCTGGAGACAACGAGACACAAGACAGATTAGAAGACCCCCTATGATGACTGATTTTTTTCAAAATTTTTGTATTTTTTTCATTGTATAGATCTTGGAATGTTTTTTTTACGCTGGTCAATAGTAATTCTTTTTTTCCTTTCTGTCGCTGACATATATATATATCGGCCATTGATTGAATGAAACAACTATTACCAATGTATGAGTATATGTGTCTATTCTCTAGCAGACGGACGTATATATAATATAGAAAAAAAAGAAGAGAATATCGTCTTATAATAGTCATTCTTCAATCATTTACAATTCTTTACGTCACGAAAAAGTAACACTTCCATCGTTTTTTTCAATAAAGCTACACATACAACATATTATGGATGGTGATTTCATTATGAATTCTCATTTGCTACCATTGTCTTTCGATGATGACAACGTCGATCAAAAGTCTGATTCAGACAGCATATCAGTTGATTCTGATATCGAAGTTAATGATACAAATTATATCAATGATGATTTTATTCGACTCAATCTCGAACATGACAATAATTCTAGTGAAGATGAAATTGAAAGTTCAATTACTACGACAAATAATATTATAATACCAATCACCGACGTTCAATCATTTTCTACCAATATTAACAACATCAATCCTTCTATTCAAGTTTCATCTTCTTCAAATAAAGATGCTACAACTATCTCAGTGCATCAAAAACGACGACAATGGAATGCACAAGAGAAATTAAAAATTATTTCTGAATTGAATAAAGGTGTGTCACTTCACGCACTTGAATTACGATACAAATGTACACGAAAGATGATTCGTGATTGGAAAAATAACGAAAATAAATTGATTAAATTAGTAAAAGATCAAGGTGGAAAAGGAAAAAAACGTAAACGTTTGGATGGAGGTGGTGCTAAGTTAAGTTATGCTAATTTGGATGATCGTCTGATCAGATGGTATAGATCGAAACGTGGATTGAATCAAGCTGATGTAAACGTAAGTAAAGAAAAAGTGACATTCAAAGGAATGGTTAGAGAAGGTTACAGAATTTGTAGTGAGCTTAAAACCAATCAACCATCAAATAAATGGTTTACAAGATTTTTAAAACGACATCGTTTATCATTACAAAAACCTGTTCGAAAGCAAAAGATTTCTCTTTCAGAGGCTCATATTTCTATTAACAAATTTCATTCTTATCTACGAAAATGTAGTCAATGGGGTCCAAAAAGAGGTCCCATGGGTTGCTTTGTAGAATCTGATATCTGTAATATGGATGAATCACCATTAAGTCTCTGGGGAGATCAATCGAGACGTTCTATAAATGACATCAACACAAGAAATGAAATCGAAGGATGTTTTGAAAATAAGCGTTTTGCTACTATTATGTTATGTGTATTTCCAGAAAGAAATCATCGAGTAGAACCTGTGCTATTGTTTCGAGGTACAGGAAAAGTTTCTTCTTCAGAAGAAAAACATTATTCACCTAATGTAAAAGTTTTTTTTACTCCAAAAGCATTCATTAATATGCCAACTTTGGAAAAATACATTACTTGGTGGTTGAAAAAAGTAAAAGATGGTAATCGTAAATTGTTTATTACAGACAGTTGTACTAGCCATTTGAATGAAAATTTGAAAAAAAGAATGAGAGATGAAGGAATAAGTATGGCAATTATTCCAACTGGATGTACCCAGTATATTCAATTACTGGATGTACATGTATTTGCTACATTTAAAAATCATTACTACGACTGTGCTGAAGAATATTTGGAATTGAATGGTCCTCGTTCAAAACTAAAATTATCTGCTTCCAAAAAGCGTATTTTATGCACACGACTCACAGCTTCAGCTTGGGCTCGTACATTGAAATCGACCAACTTTCCAGAAGCGTTTCGATCTCTTGGCTATACTTGGGTCGATGATTCTCTGATTAAACCAAATCATATACCATGGTATACATTTGATCCAGATTGCATCGAATTAAATGAAGATGAAGTAAATGAACAGAACTGTGATTCAGTTCCATCTGAACATAATAGTTCTATTTTAACAAAAAATCAGCACAAGCAATTGACTTTGAAACACTTCTGGAAAAAATAAAGACTTTATTTTGCTTTTTTTGTTTAATTGTATGAAACGAAAAGATTTTTGGTTATTGATTTTTTTTTGTATGAAAAGAATAGCCATATAATTTTCTATATACTGCGCTTCTTGTGTGATCTATGACACTGTAAAGAAAATAATTCTTGTATTGAACTAGTGTTTTATGTATATGATGTATATATTATATTCCTGATTGTATCAACTTGAAAGAAAATAAATTAATAAAATTAGTGATGATATCTTAATTAGGTAATCATTGGAAATGCAAACGAGCGCGCAGAATACTAAATTACAAGGATTTTATGAGGACATAATAGAAGACCCCCTAAAAATTTGTAAACGATCAGACAGAATAGAAGACCCCGGGTCTTCTAATCTGTCGGGGACTTTAGTGTTACTTGCTGAGAAAAATAATTAACTGCATCAAAGAACATTTTTGGATGATGATAACGTGACTGAAACGAATTTAGAATCAAGAAATGCATGAAAGCTAGATTGATGTGGATCAGGTGTGGGTGTGGGGGTGTGGATGTGGATGTGGATGGGTGTTGGTGTGCGTCGGTTTGTGTGTGCGTGATATTCTCCTTAGTTTCATACTCACACCCACATTTACACCCGCATCCCATACGTACCCCTACACCCACACCCACATCTATAACCACATCCCACATTCACATCCACACCCACATCCTACTGTTGTGCGCCAGAACTGTAGTTGATTCATTTCGTCAAACGTCCTTAGCCATTTTATGCTTTAGAAAAGTATGATTGATTTTTATTTAATTACTTTTACCTTGCCATTCATCATTGCATCAATGCAGTTTTTCTATTCTGAACTGATAAGGAGCTATTTTCAGCGAAAATTTTCTTCCTTTCAAAATGAATAATCATGAATAATTAGATATTTCCAATGTTGACTAATTTTATTTATTATTCCAAGTATTCTGTAGATTTTTTTTGTGCAAATTTTTGCATTTATTCACTCGTCATTTATTATTGCAGAGGTGATAATCAAAATGTTTCCGCATGAATTCAACATGAGAGAAATTGCATTTTAGAGATACATCGATAATCGTATAGAAGCGACAACTGTTTTGCCAGTAATCGGTATGACTTAAAGCATGCAGATTCCGACTCATTCTCACTCGTATCCGTGCCCGAATAATGACTTTCATTGTTGTATTTGAGTCAGTCAGATTCGAAGACTTATAGTCTCAATCTTCCTTACGTCAGAGTAGAGAATAGAGATCGATAGTCTTATGAGACTTCTGTTGACAAAAGATATACGCTACAAACGTTGCATGCTACCTTCGATTGCCATCTATTCGTTTTTTTTAGATACTTCTCCGAATCACCATTACATATGCAATTTATTTATGTACTGTTAACAATTGATAGGAGATTCTTCAGCAGAAATTTTTCACAATGACCATACTTTATAATCGTAGAGTGCTTGCACTAGCATGTCTGACCATTCACTAGTTACACTGTATTAATGAATACACACAATAATATATACATATAAACTTCCCTTTTTTAAAGAATCATTGAAATTTTTCACTACAAGTCTAAATATATCATGAATCAGGTACTACAGTTCTTGTAACATGAAGCTTAAATGTATAATTATGTGAACATAATGGCTGCTATAATAGTTTTGAGCTTAGTCATTGCCATTGCGAATCTCCACTTATGTTGTATTCAAAGTATTTGAAAAGAAATTTGAATTACAACTGATTGTATTCAGTTGTGATCAGGTTTTCATTTGAGTTTGATCAATTTTCGCAGTTTTGGATCTATTATTTGCTGAAACAAAGTAAAATTTGCAATTGTTGGAAAGTCATATATGAAACTGGTTTTTTTCCTAGTTATTATACGGGACAACCTTAATTTTCGTTCGACATTCTAGTCATCATTCAACTCGACCGGAACTGTATAAATTCTAATCATTTATCCTACACTTATCAGCTTTTCAACGAAGATCGTCTTTTGAACTTAAAAATCGAACCTATTGACAAATAATTAAAACGTATCGTAGTTTTACTCAAATCTACGTCAATATCTCTATCCTAACTAGAAGTAATCAGATGAGTATTGCATTCTGTTATTTTTCTATCAGGAAATAGTTTTTAAAAAATTTGACTAATTTTTTTATGTTACTTAGAAAATTCTTATGCCTGGACTCGTGATGTTGAGGAATCAGTTATCTCTGCATAAATAAATTTTATAGACATAGTTTGGCAATTAATAACCAACTACTGCTTTTTCTTCGTCTTATACACTTGTGTTTTCTTATTCGTGCAAACACACAGTCAAAAATTACAAATCAAAAGAGACATAAATCTAGTGGATGATACTATAGACTCATAGCTTTATGTATCTCTCAAGAAAGTGCATGTTGATGTGGCGATTCGATCGTTTGCTGCCGACGTTACTATCACACAGGTATTTCGTAATGATGAAAATGTACCAGTTGAAGCTATCTACTGCTTTCCCACCGAAGAACAAGCAGCTGTATATGCATTTGTAGCTCGTATTAACGATCGAGAGATTGTTGCTCAACTAAAAGAAGAAACAGAAGCACAGCATGATTACGTTGCAGCATTACAACAAGGCCATGGTGCTTATTTGTTGGAGCAAGATGAAAAGTCACAAGGCAATTTCGTCATCAATGTTGGCGCATTACCTCCTACAACTGAATGTACTCTCACGATTGCCTACGTCACAGAATTAGATCTTTTCAATGCATCGATTATTCGATTTGTTATTCCAACAACAGTTGCACCACATTATGACTTCAATCAGGGCGGACTCATGTCACCAGCGAGCACTACTTCCCAGTATGTTCAAAAGAGTCCATATACGATAGAACTTCGCTGTCTTATCAAGAAGATATCTGGAATACATGAATAGCTCATTAGTGACGTGAGTTCCTCATCTCATACAATCACAGTAGATTTCATCCAACAAGATGTTTTTTTCATCACATTCAGTCAGGAAAACATCCATTTAGATCAAGATATTTTAATTGATATTCAACAGCTATGAAGCATGACAATAGGGTGGGTGTGAGTGTGAGGTGTGGTTGTGTTCTTCTTAATTCGACCCACACACCCACACCCACACACCCCACCCACACCCTCTTTTTTTTCTTGTCAAAAATCTTTCTTTTTAAATTAATTTTTTTGATAAATCGAGTGGTTGACTAAAATAGACAAAGCAAAAATGAAATTAATATTGCTTGAACAGTTTCAAGAATGAATTCTTTACTTACTCATCATCATTATCCAATTTTCTTTGACTAATACTTGGTAGCATGATTGTTGTTGGTGTTAGATCAAGTAGTGGACTAAAATAGACAAAGCAAAAGTGAAATTAATGTTGATTGGATAGTTTGACGAATGAGTTCTTTACTTATTCATTATTATCATCCAAATTGTCGCTATCAATATTCGATTTCGATTCCATAGTTGTTGTTTTTGATTGTCGTCGTTTTTCTGTTGTTCGACGAGATTTTATAATCTTTTTCAGTTTGTTCGATACTTCTTTTGGAACTTCATTTTCATTAATTAATGATCTATAAGAAAAATTTTTTTCTTTACATAAATTGACTCGAATGAAATATATTAAGTTTGACTATGATTATTTAAATACTTTTTAATTTGCGTTTGAAATAAATTGTTTTTCCCTTATACCTAAATATATAAAAAAGATATTGAAGATATTTTACATTAGTATCTTGCCGAAAAATTAATGTTATTGTTTTGTGGTGTAAAATAATGTTGAGTTTGAATCATTCACGTTTCGTCGTAATAATTTATCTCGAAAACAAATGGTTGATCATGATCGAGAATAAATTTTTCGATTTTCTATTTAAAATAATAATGAAAAAAAATAGAATTAAAAGAAAAAACAATTATTACATTCCGATGCTTATCTATCACATGGTATCCCATCTTTTATGATGCTCCAATGACCAATAAGAAGAAGTTTTTCAGTTGATTCTTTAATTTTTCCAGAAAAAATGAGATTGATAAAGTTTGATAAAGTTGAAGGTGTCTAACTCGACATTATATCTGAAAGAACATATGAAATGCATCATAATTATTATGTATAATAGATTGAAATAATTCGTAGAATTTAATTGATTTTATTTCGATTATGCTTGATGATGCACGTTTAAGTCAATTAAGAAATAAATCTTTATCTTTTATTTGTTATTCTGTATCATTTGAAAATGATTGACAATCTTAAATACAAATAAAAACTTATTTTGACTATGAAGAATTTTTTAATTTATTCTTCCTATACATTAAAAAAATTTACCTGAAAGATAAGAGAAAGAAATTTACTTTATCTGGTGATGGTCATGATGATGTTCATTTAGAAATATATTCAGATACATCAACATGAGTATATTCACCCAAAAATAAATTAAAGAACATCTTGAATTAGATATATGATTCCGCATCTTCGCAGACAGAAATATAATGAACAAGAAAGACTATTTTTCAATTTATGATCGTTGTTCGCTATCTCTTCTAACATTGCTGAGATTATCTTGAAAGAAAAAGAATGACAAATATCTAAAGGAGGTCGAGAAAAATTTATATACATTTTGCAGATTGATTTTTTTATGAAATTTTCTAATATTACAAATAATGAGCATGTTCAGAAAATCGGTTCTGAATCAGGTCATTTATCGGGAAATTGATTTTTAGGATATATGTCAATACTCGCAATATTATTTTCGTTCTCCTTGGAAGTGAAATATGGTCTTATGCGTCGGTTCAAGTATATCTATCTACGTCTTTCTTCTGTATCATGTATTATTTAAATAATAAAATCAACTTACAGGCTTCATTGAACAATTAAATCGACATATTTTGTTTGAACATGATGTTTATGCGTCAAGAGCATGTTTTGATTAATAATTTCGAACGAAACATTTTTAGATTAAATGAATCAGGAGCAGATTCTTTTTTCTTACTTGATAAAGATCTCGAAAGTACGACGGTTAGCAGTGGGTAATCGATTATTGACTTGTAGAACAAGAACTAATGTTCAACATAAAGAATGACTAATCAAATTGGTTACCTAGAATAATAAAATATTGTTTAAAAAGTATCGATTGAAAAGTAAAAGAGAAATCTTTCGTCTTATATATAACAACAATAAGACCGACAAACAACTGAATGAGACCAACAATAAATAACATTTTATTTATTTAAATGAGACAAATAAATATTATGTAAATTTATATGGAGACATCTTCTGAAATGATTTCTAACAAGATAGTAAAACAATCTATCTAATCTATTATTCGTTCGTTCACCCTGACTTCGTTGTCTTGTCTTTTCTGTATATCCCTCGATAGATCGATTATATTCGTTTATTGGTTGGATCATATTACTAAATTCTTTTATTCTTCTTTTCTTCCATTTTTTTTTCTCGACTTAATGAATCAATAATAAAACAGGTGCCTAATTGGAGTTTGAAAATCAATGAAAAAATCCCAAAAAGGACTTTCCTGTTGAAATACGAAAAAGGAAAAAATAAAAAAAATAAATTTCATGTCAATTGTTATCATAAATCGAATAAAGACTGTCCTGTTTAAATAACATAAAAGCAAAAACGTCAAGAATTACAGATGAAGAACATTATAAAATACCAAAAAAATATTGTTTATCGTGATCATTGAAATAGTTGCACCAGTTTAAAATTGATTGTTTTATTACATGAAAACTATGTGGATAAAAACTATTAATAATTAATATACTTTCCATATGCTCATTGTTTCAGTTCATAAAGACGATTGAACATTCATATATTAAAGCTATTTTAAATGTGAGCGAAACATTAAATATTAAAAAAAATTAGAAAATAAGACATTCTAATAACAACAAGTATAGTTGAGAACGTTGCAACTCGTCACGATTTTTTGACAGAGCTTTCGGAAATTATGGTCCATTACGAAATCCCTGATTTCGTCAATTGTAGGGGTTTTGTAACGACACAAATCAGGGCTTTCGCAACAAAAAATACGGATTATCGTAACGAATTTGACAGGGTGATCGTATTCAGTGTTTTATATGTATATTTTAGAACATCAGCAATCTCAATTACAGGGGTTTCGTAATGCATTTTACAGGGTTGTCGTAATATACTTTACTGAAGAAATATGAGTGACAATACAGAGTTGTCGTAACCGTTACTACAGGGCTGTCGCACTGTACAAGTAGTGAATGTATAGTTGTAGTTACAGGGCTCTTGTAACACAAAATTCGGATTGTCGTAACCAAACAAATGAGTCTTTTCGTAAAGAAATGTTTGTATAAATTATTTTTTGTGAGATGACTAGGTACCAGGGTGTATGGGTGTGTGGGTCCAATTAAGAACACAACCACAACCACACCCACCTACACCCACACCCGACAACGTTTAGTGCAAGTCCAAACAGAAACTAAGACAAGATTCACGTTTTTTCGAGCTTTCCACCATGAAGTTTGTCTTTCTCATGAATACTTGACTTTGGAATAGAATTCTTTCCGATTGACGATTCTGGATGTCTATCATCAATGAGATGCTTGCTCCTAGCAGAAGCGTAAATTACTCAACCACTTGGATATTAGTTCAACTGTTTATAAAAGTGCTTGAATAAGTACGGAGTCATTCTCATATAACCATTGATCAAGTTCAGTGAGAGTGTGGGTCTTCTCCTCGCCTGTACCCATCTCTACTGACATCTACTTTCCCATATCCTAGAAATATCATCCATTAGATTAATAACTGATGTTGAAAAAATGTTCCTATTGCTTGTAGAAAATTTTCAGTATCACTTACACCTAAATATGACGATGTAGCATATTAAAATCATCAAGTACATTCAAACATCACTTCAGAATTTCATAATAATTACTGAAGATAAAGAGTGTATTAGTTGCATTGGTGATTTAAAAGGAAAGAATGACTGTCTCAGTAATCCAATACTTTTCAAATGAAATCCAAGAAATTTTCATTCATTATTTGGTAATTTTTTAACCAACCTGTTTCTTCTATTATTGTGTAAAGGAGAATTGGAAATGTAAGATTCATTACAGTAATTAGGTTATACAAACCATACTAGACATGATAAGTAAAAACAGTATATGTGACAAAAATTGTACAAGTCAACAAACTTATTATTGAACAAAATATTTAATAAAGAAAGGAAGTAACTTTGAAATAATGCGAGTTTCAAGACGAAGCGTACAAAAACATGAATGGCGCATCTAATGAAAATGATAACGATCATAGTAATGATGTGAATCAGATTGTTTCTATATTAGTTTTGATGAATAAAAGATAAATAAATAAAAAGTGAAAACAAATTATGAATAATGTCACGCTTGATTGATTGACCAAATAAAATATAAATATGTAATTGAAATATTTGCAAATCGTTCTTTATATTTTTTATATTTTGCTTTTATGACGTTTTGTATTTATTGAAAAAATACATTTGACCAATCATTTATCACGATTTTTAAATAAGATTTATTTCTATTTGCATTGTTATGATTATTTGGTACTTTTGTTTCGACAAAAAATATTTTCTTTTATTTCTAGATCTTGAATCTGAAGAAAATCTATTTTGAACGATTTCAAAATTTACTTAAATCTCTTCTCTTTCAATTGAAGGAATATTCCATTGTTAAAATTCGTTGCTATATAAAACAATGAACAACTATCCGACAACTGCAAGTCTAATGTTTCATGCTCAGCATCTAAATCAGTAAATGCATCCTTTTTTTCTTCACTATACGTATAAAAAGAATTAATTTAATTTGAAATAGACATAGTCCAAGATATGGTTATAGTCCTTCACCATATCACCCTGTAAACTTCTCACGTCCAAGTAATTCCATCGCGTTGCATCATCATCATTATCATCATTAAAATATATGATTTTTTTAGGACCACCATCATATTCTCTCGCACCTTGGGATATAACGCAATGGATTGATCCTATTGAAGCTCGAAAGCGACATTGACATATAGACAATGAAAAATAAAAGTTCACTTTTATTGTAAACATGAAAATATTTTTCAAACTAAACTTGATTATTTTTCATGCATCGAACAAGATTCTATAACATTATAACTAATAAAATCAAGAATTTTTTTTTTTGTAAGCTCATCTGAAATTCTTTCTTAAACACAGTCTAGAACTGATTGATATGGAAGAATTTTTCGTTATCTCACTGATATTCTTCAAGACACATCATCTTTAAAAATTACAAGAAAAAACTCATTTATAGAAAGTGACTAAATTTGGTCCAGAAAAAAGCTTAATTTTTTAATTTGAAAAAAAATATACGATAAATATTTTTGTATGCCGAGCACGCTATCAATCATACAACAAATAGAATTGAATCATCGACAACGATCACAACAGAAATATGAAAATGAATATTGGTTAGAAAGAAATTTGAAGAGCTAGAATTGCCAAATTGAATAAAAAACTTGAAATTTCTATTTACTTAATCATGATAAATAACATTTATTCAGAAAATTTTTTCATTGGTGCATAGCTTTTTTCTTTAATTTCATAATAATGACACATGATAAGAAAAAAGTTGTGCAATAACAAAAATAAAAGGAACTCAAAATCAGTTGAAGTCTAGATTTATCATTGACTTCTCTTTTGACAAAATACATTCCAATGTCTATGAACACATTAGAAGAAATTAAATTTTTATCAGCACTTCAAAAATTTACAGTGCATTGTGTTTCTAACCAATGTTCGCCGAAAATCAAATCATATTGTGTAGATCTTTTGATTGCAGTTAAAAATCTTCCAAAAGTCTATATTGGTCATAAAATTCAACTCGCTTTAGCACTTGAAACTGCTTCTCTAAGAAATGAAACAAGATTTATATTAAATGATTATATGAATATTATTTCTCATTTAATTTATCTTTCTCGACCAAATTTAATGTTAGAAGAAGAAAAAAAATGTGAAAAATGGACAGGAATTGATTTAATATCATTATTAAACGAATGTGAAAATCGTTTTAAAAAACAATCTTATTCATCAACACTTTGGATTGAGATTTTGAATAAAACAAGCATGGTGAGTTATGATTTAAATTATTTTAAAAATATTTCATTTGATTTTGTTCAACATGATACAGATATTGAACAATTATTTCAATGGATTAATCAAAATAAAATCAAAATATCTGGTCGATTTAATAGAACATATGGAGGAGTACCTTTATTTTGGTGTACACCATCTTCTTCACAGTTACAATCAAAATATGGATCAATTCGATTAATATTTCCGTTTTCTATTGTTTATTCATCCACTCAACATCATTTTTTTGATTTAGGACAAAGAAAACATGGTTCAGATAGATGGCATAATATTTTAATTACAACAAGAAAACAAATTGCTGGATATGGAACTGATTTTATCGAACTTTCATCAATACCATCAATGCCATTAGATATAGCTATTGATTTAACTGATGGACCATTGATACTTTCTGATGTTCGTATTACATTTGTTAATCATATTGATAGATGTATACCTATATTACCTGAGAAATTAACACCACAACATTCTTGTTATAATACATCTCATTCTGCTATGGAGAATTTTCTTCGTCATCATCGTAAAAGTGGACATTCTACATTGGATCAATTAAAACATCTTTTTGATTCAGAGATCTTCGATAAATTAAAACAAATCAACAATATTTTATTTAATGAAGAGATCGTTGCATAAAAATATCAAAGACAATTTTAGGTGAGTTTACTGTTTAATATTATTTCATTTTTAACTTCTACAATCTTTAGAATGGTAAGCATATTTGACTGCTTTATTATCTCTGCAATTCCTTGTCAAATTAATTCTTTTTCCGTATATCGATGTGGCTCTGCGTTACGAATATTCATTTCTGCTACATTATAATGTCTATCTGTTTTCAATGACAAAAGTAAAATCTTTGAAACTTTTATTATAAATAGAGACTATTTTGATCTTCTACCAGTAAAGATTTCTTAGATTTTTTTTACTTCGAGCTAAGTTATTCAGAAAATATCCACAGTTACAAAATATCAAAAATGGACTTTAGTGGAATTCGCATATATTTTTGAAGAAAATAGTGAATGTAACTTTTAAGTGTAAGGTTCGCGGATCCTTTTTTCCGCACCCTCTCCATTACAGATCTTAGCAATCGGGAATAATAGGCCCAAATTTTCTAGTGTTTTGCAGAATTGATTATGTCATGCGCGTGGGTGTGGGTATTGGTCTGAGTGTGATTCTTTTTCTAATCAACACCGGCACCTTCACTCCCACATCCACCCACACCCGCGATGACGTTTTTGATCACTTGCTGAATAGCTAATGAAAGACGCCTTATAGAGAACTCAAGATTAGGGAACATCATGAAGAAAATAAACTCTGTATCTCTTGAGTGTATGACCGATGAATAAGACCTGTTCTACTTGTGAAATATATGGAAAATGAGCAAAAACATCAATCGACTCTCCTTATCTGTTAAGAGTGAATGCTTGGTGTCTGTAGGTAGGTGAAGATATGAAATGAACAAGTACGCTCAAAGTCATCGTCACATTGATAACCTGGACCTTCCGTAGTTTAGGTTGTGATGTATCAGATCGCATTGTTATCCGACAAGGGGTATGGTTGCTAAAAACGAAAATTCGCCGGAATTTGAATGCTGCCTGTCAAACCTTCCATGTTGTGTGTTTTCGATGAAAAGATCTGTCTATCCGATAGGGCCAAAGAGTCGTATTCGACAAGATCCGATCGTATCTTTTCCGGCACATTCCAGTGGGCAATTCGACTGATAGGAAAACCAGATCGAATTCGATTGGTTTTGGGGAAAGACCTTAGATTCCGAAGCAGTACGGAAGATGAAACACTGTACATTGACACACAATGGAAGTACAGTCTCTATTTTTTTCCCTCTTCTAGTTTGTTTTTCTTTCTCTCTCGCTTTTTCTCTGCGCGTATGTGCTATTCGATCTGTTGCAAATCTACTATCATGGGTATAAAGTCGTCGAAAACTCATATTATATCGATTGATGTGTTTGGAAACAATAATTATGTTTTGTTGGTCAATGGTGTACAGTTCAATTTTACAACTGTTTTCCAAGATATAGTGAAATATATCAATACAGAAAATCGCACAATGATACTTGATATTTATTTGAGTTGTGTCATCATTACGACATTGTTAACCGTTGTTGTCATTTCTCTCGCCTTGTATTTGTATGCGATGTATCATAAGAAACAACATTGGATCACTGTCAAGAATATTGAACATGATATTCGACAAGTGAACAGGAGTATTCGAAAAATAACATACGAAATTGATCATTTATCGATGCTCTCTTTTCGCCAACAAACCAATAAACGATCACCATATGTTCATGCCGGTCATATTCAATTAATGACCGAAACAGACATTGACTCTTCATTGGATTTTTCCGTTTGACATTAATCCGGTTTGCATAAGTCATATTATGTTATCTTTTTTTTCTGTTTTACTCGAGAATAAATGCCGTTACAATGGTGTATCTAATCTGTGGTATTTTCCCTTGCGTTCTCCTTCTTATCATATAGTCGATATGTGAAAGAAGGAAAGAGTAGAATATCATAGATACATCATCGTTTTCTTGTTTATGAAAAAAATCATCAATCATAAATGGAATGCTTTTCTCTTTCTGTCAATAATGAATGACAAACGAGTTCGATGACAAAGTAGGAAAATGTTGATGCCATGACTCAAGAATATTTACAATCTATGAAAACTTAGTTACATGGAAAATCCAGTTTTTTTTTGTTATTTTTGTGACCAGTTTTTCCTCTCATAAAAGTTTCTGCTATCATATTGAAATCATTGTATTGTTCGGCTAGCAACGAAGAAGATACACTCTCACATATCAAGATTGATAGGCACAAAAATGACAATATTGCACACATCACATGATCGATATAATCGATCACGTCGTCAACTGATCGATCTGAATATCGCGTCAAACAAAAGAATTCTATACTCGTCCTTGGAGGTGAAAGGAAACCATAATAATGTGTTTCACTGGGCCAATGGTTCTGATCAAGATTTGAATTCAGACGGACTGAAAACAGCCAATACAATTCTTCGGGATGGTAGTGATCTACTTGGTGCACCATCCAGATGGATCAAGGATATGCAGCAAAATTGGTTCGCTTACATTCTAGTCACTGCAATTATTCTTATCTGTGTTTTGTTCTTATACTGCGTCATACGGTATCATTGCTCACATCAACAAAAAAATCGTTTGGATACATCACGCTTGAACCAATTGGCAACGATTATGGCATCGATCAACCCACCGCCGTCCACATTACCTCCAGTCATACAAACAGATTAAGGCTAAAGTTTATTAATATACTCGAATGAAATCGTTTTCTATGTGAATTCTAGTATGATCATAATACAGATACTGTAGTAGACATTTATCTACTCAAGAACATCTTTACAGTGATTATTGAGACAAGAACAAAGAAATAAAAAGTCGTTTGACACTAATCAAGACGAATGCAAAGTATAGACATATCCATATGTAGAGAAGGAATTTTCGACCTTTTCAGTTCGTTAAAATGGTGGTCATCATTAGCTTCGATGTTGTTTCTCATATAATTACTAAATTTCAATTTAAATCTTGAAAATATAAACATATATCATAAACATTTTGTATAAACATTTTAAATCGAAATATTAGCATGAAACGCTAAATAATAATAATCTAATTAAACGAATAAGCCACCGTAATCTTGATAACATCATAAACTAGCGAGGGTTGGACCTTGAATTGATCGGTGACATAAATGCTTACTTCCAGCGGAAAAATGGCCCTTGAGTCAAAAATGGTCATCCCTAAGATCAAGTGCATCAACACATTATTCGACATAGAGTATTCATGTTAAAAAAAAAGTCACCATACCATCAATTTTTAATGCGACATCCATTAATTAGTT